GACTATAAATACTAAATTTAGATGGGCAATCTTAATACCTTCGGAGATACATGTAATATATCCATTTTTATTTACGAGAATTATTTACGACGTTTTTTGTGCTGTTTTTTTATAATTGCTATTTCTTCATTGTTTGCCATTTCAACATTTTTTTTTCTCTCATCATGCAAAATTATCTATTCTTATAGAATCGCACTAAATACGAAGATCATGCAAAGTCTTCGTATTTGCATGATCTTCGTATTTAGTGCGATTCTGTAAGAATAGATAATTCAGCGAAATCCAAATGTTGCCGATAAAATGTGGCCGTGAGAACAATGACGATATAATCGCCGCAACATAAAATCATTTTTACAGGGGCCAGCGCCTAGAATTTTTCCACTGTACAAGCGCTGTGAGTGGCTAGTCAATCGGGACGTAGTCAAATGGGTGTCATCCGGCTTAAATCTTATAAGTAAATCGGGACCAACGCGGCAACGCGGCAACAACTAATTACCAATCATCTTGTTTTCTAATATGAAATGAAATTATATATCAGAAAACAAGACGGTGTCACTTTGTCGCGTTGTCACATTGCCGCTTTGCCGCATCCTGTGTGCAACCAGCCCCATATGTAGTTGTCATGCGAGTTATTAACGTAAAAATGATTTGCATAATCTGATGATTATTTTTTTTTCTATTCTTTTTTCTATTCTGTCGGATAAGAAAATACGTTTCGTACTAATTGTAAAGAGTAAAAAACGTGTTTTACGAACACACGTTGAATCCCTTGTTAACTTTTCATGGCACGCACAGTTGAAACGATTATCAACAAATGTGCGAGAATGAATAGATCGTTCTCGAACGATTTATAAAGATCGATCGATCGATTCCGAAGAAAAATCTGGATTTTCAAATGCTCTTCTGCATTCACGTCTCATTATGTCGTCTCAAATGATCGATAAAAATAATTTTATAATCTGATTAAAAATTTTCGATGTATCTGGCCGATCAAATTTTCCACATATCTTTACAAACAGTTTCAATATTAATTAGATCGTTAAGCTTTCACGAGTTCTTTATTTGAATAAAGTTTACAATTGAGAATGCTTTTATACTCTAAATATTTTTAGAAATTCTATAGCGTTATTTTACTTATTTTTAGCGTTGTGTATATTTATGTTATACGTACAGAGTGAATCATGTAAAGTGTTTAAGCTACTTTCTCGGAATCTGTTAGGGACCACAATAAAATTCTTTTCGAATTTATTAGAACCTTTTATTTGATATATATGTGGATAAAAGTCTGTCACTTTTCCGCCGGACATTTTCTTCATTTTTTTGGATGTCGCGTGCTCGACCAATTAAAAGATGCTCCTATATCCTTCCATTCTTACCTCCAGCACGTTGCATTCTCGCGATATACAGGCGAGCATACGTGGCGCACGCCCATGCTTGCAACGTGCATGGCGAGGTTTCGCATGGCGAACATGCCCGGGTTTCCACTGGAGCAACACTCGCGTAATCCACGTATTCATGTGCGCGCACACAAGTGAGCGACGAGAGGAATACTGCCTCCCGGCCCGAGATTCACGGGAACCACGAGGAATCGCGAGGAAGTGCGCTCGACGAGAACGCGCGAAACTTGGCACTCCGGGTACTTCGTAGCCGGTCGCTCGTTTTGAAAGAAACGGGAAGAAAACGGAAATGGTAATGAGGGGAAGAGGGAAAGAAGAAGGAGAAAAACGAAGGAAAAGATAACAGGATTGACATAATGACGATAGCCGAGCGATCAGGGCCGGGATTTTGTAAGGGCCGATCTCCAATTCTGATTAAGTTAAACAGCTGATTGTCCGGCTGCGGTTGCTAGTTAACGATTCTACTATTACCAATCACATTGACCGTAACCAAGACTTGCTACATTGTGATTGGCTGAAATAGAATCGTCAACCGGCAATTGTAATCGCGCAACTGCTAGTCTGATATGGTCTTAAGGCTCGTTCCACAATGCGTTGTATGTCAGTGATATAGACATTTAGGGCCGCAACACACACTTCTACATAACGCATAATGCATAATTCATAAAAAAATGAATCAATCAGCATTTTTTATTTCCATTAGGAGGTAGAAATGGAAGACTATGATTGTTCATTTTCTTATGCGTTATGCAAAAGTATGTGCTGCGGCCCTTATATTGGCTGCGTTCCAATATTCACTGCCAGTACTAAAAATATATAGTTTAGGTCACGTATATTATAGATTTTCAATACTTGCAGTGAATATCGGAACGCAGCCACTATACATGTCTATGGGCGGGCCAATAAGATGCCATAAGATGGGCCAATTACAATCAAATATAATAATTCTCCTCAAATTCGTCTATGATTGATCAATTTTTGGCATGCGACGTATTGCGACATGGGACATCCTTACGCTGAATCTAATTTTTTGTGGAAGAAACATACACACATACATTGAATAATCAGAATAATCAGAGTTTCTCAGCAAAGTAAATGAAGACCCAGAGAACATTATGACATTTTAAAGACGTTTTAAATATGTTTTAAATATTATAAGACGTCTTATTAGTCCCAATCTACAATAGATGAATTTAAGCTATAAAAAATGGACGAATCATAATCAAAGAATAGGATAATAATTGATTATGATTGATCAATTTCTTATGGCTTATGACTTAAATCACTTATTGTAGATCGAGACTTATATAAGAAGACATTTTTAAATCTCGGTCCACAATAGGTGATTTAAGCTTTAAGACGTAAGAAATTGACCAATTATAATCGAATATGAAATAATACTCGACTATGATTGGTCAATTTCTTACGGCTTAAATATTAAATACTTATTGTGGACCGACACTTATAATCCGATTTATGACATTTTTGGAACATCTTATATACGTCTTATTTTTCAAATTGTGACAATTTTTAGATATCCTATTTTTGAATTTATGATGTCTTAAAAATGTGTTTAAACGTCTCTTTTTTGTATTTATGACATCTTTAAATAGTCATATTTTAGAATATTTATTTTTATATTTCTGATTGTTTTACTCAATAAAACGAACAAATAAGCTTTTTGATTATTTATATATTTTATTTTTATTTTTTATTATACATTTACATTTTATCTATGTATAATTATTTTTATATAACAATTATTTTTATATATTTTGGAATATAATTATTTTTAAAATTTAACTTGATAAAATTTCATTTTAATTAAATTATTTTTTTTAGTATAATTAATTCGGACGACCTGCCGAAGCCACTTCTGGATGACTTTTTGTAAATTATGTAATGTCCTTCCTTCACCAGTTGATACATAATCTGTAATAATAATAAAATAATCTTTACACTTATTTGATACATTTCATAAGAAAATTAATTTAGTATATTATATACTACATACTATATTGATTCTATATATTCAGTTATTAAATAATTTTTATTATCAGATTTTATGCTTATACAGTTATGTAAATTTACGTGCAATAATCTTAAGGCCAATAACACAAAGAATATGACAACTAATTACATTATAATTAATAATATACAAAAGTGAGAAAATTTGATACAGTTGCATCTGCATTTTTCTTTGTAGAATATAAAATATAAGAGAATATATAATATATGATAAGAATATATAATAAATTTCTTAGGTAGAATTTATAAATTTATTCACTTTTATAATGTTCAGCTTGTTTTACGACACACAATCCACTTCCAATTACGTGTACGTATACACGATATTTTATGTTTGCAATTATAATTATAGTTACTAAATTGTATTATCATTGCTTATAAATATAATCAAAGAAACTTGTAAGCAATAAAATTTAATCGGTAAAATTGACTAATGACTAATCGGTAAAATTGACTAATTGACTAATCATAGTTGGAAATAAAGAACAAAAATTATAGCTCATATTCCGAATTCTTTTTTATCGATAAAAAAGAACTTTTAAATATTATATTGATAACAAAGTTATAAAGCATATCTCTTGATTTTTTTTTTAAATGGTGTTCCTGGGAACGGATAAGTGCTTTCAACCTCCCTCGGGCTACATCATAGGTCCTCTATCTTCCCTTATTTCATTTTTCTTTCTATTAAATTGCTTTTAACTCTTTAAATCTACTTAAGCATGAGGTTCTTCCTCTTAATTCATGTATAAGTTTCACAAGAAACTCTCAAAAATTTGTGAAACAATATATAGGGCGAGGGCCAAGTTTGAACCCGCTACCCTTCGATTATGAATCCTTCGATTATGAATCGAACACGTAAGCATTGAGTCACACGTCGCCCCCGCATATCTCTTGATGACAACTCGAGGTTATAGAATACGTCTTAAAAAAGTCTTAAAAAAAGTTTTTAAGACTGTGGACACGAGTTTATTACAAATGCTTTGAAGCAGTAGTGGTACATTGACCATAATCTGTATCAAAAAAGACGTCTTTCTCAAGACGTCTTTAGTGTCGGTCCACAATAGGTAATTTAAGCTTTAAGAAGTAAAAAATTGGCCAATTATAATCGAATATGAAAAGAATAATCGACTATGATTGATCAATTTCTTACGACTTAAAGATTAAATACTTATTGTGGACCGACACTTAAGTCTTAAAGACGTCTGTTATAAGACGTTTTTTAGACATGCTGCGGTCTAAGAATCAAATCAGGGTAATATTATAATAATTAATTAAATCGCTTCATCGAATTAATTTTATATATATATATATATCAATTAATTTATGTTTTTCAATGCGTGGCCTAACTATATCTAACAACTGATTGAACATTTCTATTGGACATTCTACAATAATTGTAGAACATTTCGTAATCCTTAAATTCCATTTCTTTGACCCGATTGTCACTGTCACCTTATAATAGTCGTCATCTTTCTATGAATATCATACAGCTAAAACGCATTCATGATCATTCTCAGGCTTCTCTCTGGTAGGACCGCTAAGGGGGCCCGAGAAGAACATTGATACTATCGATCGTTTTGACTGTAGGAGGACCGTTTTGAGGATAACAAAGGAAGGAAAACGTTCATTTATTATTGGTATTATGACTGTTATTACTGTTATTATGACTAATTTTATTTTAAATTAATAGTTTGTAAAAGGAACTATTAAAATTAAATCCATCATAATGACAGTAATAACATTATCCTCTCTTTGTTATCCCATAAAACGGTCGATAATATCAATGTTCTTCAATTATCCCTGGGCCTCCTTAGCGGTTCCGCTAACTCTCATAAGATTGTCGGTCTTTAATATCTCATCGGTGATTACATTGTCTAATTTTCTTTTGTTAAGATTGTTTCATCTTCCCGATATATAAGATCTTATAATATATATCATCCTTCGGGACAAAGACAGAACACATGCAGTTTCACATTTCTTCTTAAAGTTCAAATTTATGAAGGATTAATGCATTAGTCTATTTCTTTAATATACACTTTAAATACCTCTGCGATAAAGCTTCCCTAATAGATCCGAGAAAAAACTATGTAAAGGCCCGGGTGATATCTGTTGTAAAAGTTCATTTAGTAAATTATACGTTTCGTCTTCGTATATAGAATATCTATCTGGTAATTCCAAATCGATAAAGAGCTGTTTCACACGTTTCACTTTCTCCGGATCCGAAGAGCCATAACATTCCTACGTGACAAGAGAAGAAATAAGAAAAGGATTAATATATAATAACGTTTAATGAAACAATATATTTAATAAAGAATACTCACTTTTAAAATGTTACGCTGCACTGGAGTAGCGCGATCGAGAGCTGTAACAATTAGCCACGTACATTTTCCTTTTTGTATATCAGTATTATATTTGCCAACGACCTCGGATTCTTCAAAGCAAGCCATATAATCATCTCGGACTTGGAAGAAACGTCCCATCCCTAACAGGATGAGTTCTGCTTGTTTGAACATCTCTGGATCTTTTATTCCAGCCTATATGTAACGTGTCATTATTATCATTATTAAAATATTTATGTACTTGCATGTGTGAGAAAAGTAAGGTATACTTACAAAATGCATTGCTGCGATCACTGGTAAGAGAAATGAATAATGTGACGTTTTGTATTCAACAATAGAATTGTATCGATCCATCGTAAATAAATCATGATTGAGTTTCATGCCCAAATCGGTAGATTCTAAATCTATCCATTGGTTGTTTATTGTTTTCCACAATATCTATCAAAATATTATATACATAATCGCTCGATCAAAAGGAAAAAAGAAATAAGCTGCTATTTACAAACATATTAGGAGGATATTTTCACTCACATCCTGGAATGTTACTAGTAGTTCAGTACAGCATTCTTTTCCTTCAAAGTGCTTTTGAATTACATAATAAAAAGAATATTCTAATATTATACCATCCTCTGCTATTGCTTGACTCAATTCGTCGTATATACGATACCAATATGGCAGATCTTTATGTAATAACTTCATATAATATCCGTCTTGTAGATCTTCAAGAAGGAATGAGTAAGCTTGCAACTGTATAAAAATAATATCTTAATATTATAAAGTATAATGACGTTTTATAAATTTAATATAAACAATTTATCACACGATATGCTTTGATTTAAATAGATGTAATAAATTAAGATATTGTCTTGTTCAGTACTGTCTACTACAGTAATTCGATCTAGTTTATGGAAGATATTAGTGTTGAATGAAGTCACGCACCATTTCCACGCAGAATTCTAAAATCCGTGTCAGACGAATATTATCTTCTGTAAGTTGATCATTCGATGTCAGTAACCTGTAGACATAAGGTACGGTTAAACCTCGAGTTTTCTTTTCACCTGGTACAATGTACTGTAATATCTAAACAAAAGAAATATTTTAGAGATTTTAAAAGAAATTTTTATATTCAAATAAAAGTTTATTGATTTAATTTGTCATACATTTTAATCAATAGTCACTTACTTTTGCCATCCATTTATGAACATTGGGAAGATCTGGAAGATCATACGGCATCGAAATCTTAGCTCCATGTACGAGGTCACTGACAACCTCCGGCCATAGAGCCATCATCTCTCGATTTTCATCTTCGGTTGTTATCCATGGTTGTGTTACGGAATGAGTCATTCGCACATGATTATGATCCAATAATCTAAAAATTTAACAATCTTGAATTAAAAATTACAATGTGACTATATTGAGATACTGTTCACGAACGGACAAAACCACAATGTTGTAAGAAATTATAAATGAAGAAAACCATTGAAAAATTAGAAACAATTAGAACAGAATTAGATGAGGCAGATATTATTTATCAAGTTTATATTCTACGTTCTTCCTTATATCTTTATAAACAAGTTCTTTGTGAAATAAGGAGAAAACGCAATTGAAGATATTCCTATTCTTTACTTCTTATGTACATTAAAATAAGAATATGCAGGACTATAGATATATTTCTTGTGATGATGTCAAAGATGTCTGTATTCAGGTAATTATATTACATATTACATATTTTTTAACAACTATATCTTTTCTTCATATAAATAGATTTATCTCATTATTCTGTTCTGTTCAGAAGTACCAAAGTAAGACAATAAATATTTTATAAGATATTTTATATTAAATGTCCAAATATATCAGAAAAAAGTATAAAATAACTTCTAAACTAACAATTTCTACGTTTACTTTGTTATAGTTTTTTAGAGGATTAAAAGCTTGATGTTCAAACTTAGTATTGACGAGTCAAAATTCCTAAATAATTCGCTTGCAAAACTGGATGTACACAAAAATTTTAAGATCCATTTTTTGGAGAAAATATTTTTTTATGATTTCTCTGCAATAAGGGATCATAAAATATAACAATATAATATAGAATATTTAGCAGATTATTTGAAATTTCGGAACGTTGAAAATTGTCCCGGACGTCCTAAAAAATGAAGAAAATGTCCGACGGAAAAGTGACAGACTTTTATCCACATATATATCAAATAAAAGGTTCTAATAAATTCGAAAAGAATTTTATTGTGATCCCTAACAGATTCCGAGAAAGTAGCTTAAACATTTTACATGATTCACTCTGTACGTATAACATAAATATACACAACGCTAAAAATAAGTAAAATAACGCTATAGAATTTCTAAAAATATTTAGAGTATAAAAGCATTCTCAATTGTAAACTTTATTCAAATAAAGAACTCGTGAAAGCTTAACGATCTAATTAATATTGAAACTGTTTTTAAAGATATGTGGAAAATTTGATCGGCCAGATGCATCGAAAATTTTTAACCAGATTATAAAATTATTTTCATCGATCATTTGAGACGACATAATGAGACGTGAATGCAGAAGAGCATTTGAAAATCCAGGTTTTTCTTCGGAATCGATCGATTGGTCTTTATAAATCGTTCGAGAACGATCTGTTCATTCTCGCACATTTGTTGATAATCGTTTCAACTTTGCGTGCCATGAAAAGTTAACAAGGGATTCAGCGTACAACGTTTGTAAAACACGTGTTGCCTGCGCAACTTTGTTACATATCAGAAAACGAGGTGGTGATTGACTACCGGCGATGCCGCTTTACTGTGTCCAAAACAGCCTATGAAGGAAATGTTAATGATACAGCTTCGATCGAGATCCACTTTATTAGATTTGTCAAAAAGATGCGTCACATTTCTTTTTGCGAGATACATTTAAAATCGAAAGCGATTCTAAAGCAGAAATTAATCTTTAATCAAAGTGGAATATGTTCTAATGTTCAGTTCTACAAACGTATATTAACTTTAACTTGCTCTTTATTCTTCTTTAATTCTAGAAAATAATAAAAAATATTTCAAACCAGAATTAAAATAATTTACATTGGTAGAAATAGATATAAAACCACTTAAACAGTTCTTATCGCAAAGATATCTCAAACTTTAAAATATCCTGCCGATTGTTCCATCAACATTTCTTATTTTTGTTTTGTTCGCTATATTAACAGAAAAAATTTATCTTTCTTCTTATTTCGAGGATTCTATTGTATCTTTCCGAAAGTCATCGAAAAATTTGTTATTTTTGGTTTTACACATTTTTTTCTGTAAAGATTATTGACGGAACAGCACTACTTCGTCTCAAAAATTTTCACTAAGTTTAAAAGTTTCTCTTTTTCCGCCGATTAAATTAGACTAATTAGACGCTTCTATGTCCTTTCCATTCTTACCTCCAGCACGCATTCCCACGGTATACAGGCGAGCACGCGCGACGCACGCCCATGCTTGCAACGTGCACGTGGTCAGCGCTGACGGTGAGGCGTCGCGCGGCGCCGAGGGTCGACAGGAATCGATTTCGCGTGACGAACATGCCCGGATTCTCGCTGGAGCACACTCGTGTAACCCGCGGGAGGCTATTCAAACGTGCAAGCGAGCGACGAGGAGAACACTCGGCTCAGGATTCACGGGAACTACGAGGAATCACGAGAAAACGCGCTCGACGAGAACCTGGCACTCCGGCAACGACGACAGCTGAGCGATCAGAAGAGGAATGGTCGTCGATTCGAACTCCGACCTCAGGGATTCTGTAACCAGAGAGAATCCTAAGAGAAGCTATTTCTTTTTGTGGGACCGTAAAAATCCTTTGTACCGCCAGAACGTTCATTTTCAATATTAGTACTACGTAGTCACATCCATTTTCCGATACTGCCGATAAAATCGGCATATTTTGATCCGAGAAATTATTAAAAGTTATTATGAAAAAA